CCAGCACTCACAAGTAAAAGAAGACAAAAGGTGGCAACACAGCTTTCTGTATTACCTATTACTATGTTTTGTAAGTTCTTAGCTTTTGCCACAAAGAAAGTAAAACTATTGCATTGTATCCATATAATGTAGGAATAATGAGATGCAGATATGAATATTATCTTTATTAAGTTGCTTAAGAGGAAAATCTGAGTGGCTTAGAGGATAAGGGACTGGGATTTCATCTCAGAAACCCCAGTGGGGATTTAATTCGCAATCCACTGTTGAGACGTTAGCTGCACAATAGCTTACTCTAATCTGCTGATAGAGGGAAATTATTTACTAGCTATCAAAGGGATACCTGCCTTTGACAGGACAATACTCTCCATACATACACATTAAGTCCTGTTATTTTCTAAGTTTGAGCCAATTTCAGTCAAAAGTATTTGGCTAGCTTTAGTCCCAACTAGCTACATCTAAATACCTGCATTATTTGCCAGTTGTAACTATCTTCCTGTGACTTCCAGTGCTTAAATTGGAGAATGTGGAATGATTTACCGATATGTGAAGCTACCTGCCTTGGAAATACTGCACTTAGAAATAAGGTAAAGGAGGAATTCATATAGTTAACGGATGCCAAAGATACCGGGCAAACATTTGAGCAGTGTCGATATTTTGTTAACAATCTAACGTTTGCCTGCCTTTTCTGTTGTTACTATATAAGTTACTAAACTGTTCTGGAAAGGAACAGGTCACTAAATCATACAGATCTACTTATATCGAAACACTAACAATAATTCACAGAACTTGGAAGCCTATATATTGATGACCTACAAAAAGGAAAGGTCTTCCTGATTTTATTTCTTAGGCACCTAAATCCGGGATTGCAAGCTTGCACATTTTCTTTTGCTCAGTCACAGAAGTCAAGCATCCATGCTGGTCTTTTCTCAACAAGCAGGGAGAGAAGGCATTAAGTCTTTATTTCAATCACCTGATGGTAAGGAAATTAATCCAGGTTAAGTGAAAATCATATTTCCTTTGCTCCTTTCCCTTTAGAATCCACATGAATACTCACTCTGTCAATCTGAGCATGGATGATGGGCTGGGAATTATTCCATCTTTTGTTCTGAAGCTGAAATGATTCCTTTTGTACGGAATAATTTAGTAGCAACTGTACCAATTCAGAGAAATAACACTACAACCTAGAAATCTGAGTATCATTCATCCATGTTGAGGAAAAGAAAATTCTGTCCTTGCTCCACAAATACATAATATGAAATGCTTAAACATGGAATTGTCTCTTCCTTACATAAGGAATGTGTTATTTGTTCAATAGTTTATAATATTTGTACATCCTGCTACAGAGTGTGGTTTTGCGATTAAGACACTGAATTTAGTTTCATGAAATTGTTTCAAATCTAAGGTCCTGTCTAGAAATATTTGAGTAGGTCCTCTGCACACAAGCATTCTGTTTCTATTTGTCTTGCAAACTAAAGTTTCTACTTCTAGAAATCAGGGAGAATAGAAAAAAAGTGTGTGTGTATTATCACTTATTTGCACTCAAGTCTCGTTTTATATAGAGTAAAAGGAAATCCTTGTCTAACAATACAGTTGTAGCTTCAATGACAACTCTTCAACCTTGGAGAAATTATTTTATCTCATTTCTCACCTATTACAGTTTTGCTTATTTAAACTATAAGCTCTGCAGAGCAGAAAATTTCTCCTATTACATGTAAAGTATTTTGCAAGAAATTGCATACTATATGATCCTGATCATTGCTTGAACTAGTAGATGCTACTGTTGTATTAAAAAAATGGCCAGGATAGGCCACCAGCTAATGAAAATTTTTGCCGTTTGATTTTTTGTTGTTGTTGTTGCCTGTGTGAAAGAAGAGTGCTTTCAGTTCAGTTCACAGTCAGTCCACAGTTCATCAGAAACCCACAAATCTGTTCTATAGTAATTCTGGGTGATCATTTCCCATGGAGAGGTCAGGAGCCAAAAGGACATCAGTGTTCTCAGGCCTTGAAATTACTTATCCAAGCAAGAGGGAGGCACGTTGAGGGACCTGTCTGTATTGCACTTTTATTGGCAAGGAGGCTTTTATCTCAAAGGCTGATGATCCTGTACAGAAACTTATTGATTCTCATAGCTAACTCTCCTTGACTTCAAAATGGTCCACAATTTTACTTTCTGTTTTTATCTAAGGTTGTTGGTAGGTTATAACTTAAGGAAATAAAGGAAATTGCACATTACAGAGTGCTACTCTAGGCCATGTCTTCAATTTTAATGAATTTCTTTTTTTTTTTTTTTTTTTTACCATGTAAACCCCTATAAATAAAATACAAATGACAAAATGAAGAAATGGATGAGTCTTCCAGGAACTTAATATGCATTAGGCAATAGGTGATAAAAAATCAGGAGGTAAGACATGGACAACTAGTTTTACATAATAGAGTCTGCTCTGCTGATTGCCATCTTATAACTTTGCATCAGAGGTTAAATAAAAGATTTTTTTTCCAACTGTTATCCTAGAAATGAACTGAGCACATGAAGTACATGAAAAAAGGTGAGTTGTAGAAACATGCACATACATTCACCTGCATTTCTTTGTTACTTTCAATCCATCTGCTCATCATTGAACTATTCATATGTAACCGCACTTAGTATTATACAGTAGCTTCCTAGCTCATAAAATATTGATTCAGGTTTTTTATCGTGTATCTTTCTTGAACTTTGATCTTTCATACTTAGTGCTGCCTTGATGAAATATTTAGAAGTACAACATTTTCCATGCAAAAGGTAAATTTAGAGTTTTTATATGTTAGCCTCTGTTAACGCACTAGCTTCAACCCAAAAAGAGACCCGAGATGAACTTTATCTTGGTCATGTTTAGTTGAAAATTGAGTTTGTGCTAATCCTCCATCCCCAAAACCCTTTTTTGTTTCAAGGCAAAAGTCAGTTTTGTGACTTGATTGGAGTAGGGTTACCACAGTTCCTCGTCAGGTACATTGTGAGAGCCTTGAGAAGATATACCCAAAGAGCTGAATTTAACAGTTACCTCCAAGTGGATAAAAATGTGTTATCTATAAAACAAAACAAGACCCCTAATTTAAAAATGAAAACAAAACAAAACAAAACAAACCATTCTACATACGTTTATAGGCATTGAATGCTATCACACAATTTTGCCAAAGCAAACAAAGCTACTGCAACATCTCCTTTACAAATTTCATCAGAATAACAAACAAGGCATTTTCATGAGGTTGAGAGCTGATGAAGTCTCAGTTCATAGCTCATGGCTGATTGAATTTGGCATCTAGGAACATGCAAGGTCCAGCTAAAGCTTTTTCACAGTCTGGAGGACTCACAAGGGTTCTGTCCATCATGGTTACTCTGATACCTAGTAGGAGCCTTTCTCGCAGCATAAGTCTCTTGTCTCCACCAAGCCACTAACTTTTATGAAATCTGGAGAAACTCAATTAGTTTTGAGACCTTTATCTCCTTGTTGTATTTGGTTGAAAGGGGTTTTGGCTGAAGGCTGCTGAGGTTCATAAGGACAGAGAGATAGGGTGGCAAACACAGACATACACATATCCAGAGTAAGTACAAACACCTGATTCTGTTCTATTATAGCTGCATAAATCAGGATATGACACTGAAATCAATGGAGCAGTATATATTTAAGAAAATGGACAATGAATAAGAAGATAAATTATCCTGTTCTCTACTGTTTTGTGTTATATTTCAAAAATATTCATATTGCTCATTTTGAATACATTGCGCACAGCTCTTGATTAAGACAAGCTGAAGAAATAGAGAAAACGGTCTATAGGTTTTATCACTCAATTTTAAATTAACAAAATTTTTGTTTGAGAAGATGCTACTAGAGAGAGAAGTTTCTGTATACAGCGCACTGACTATTTTCAACAGGAGACTTTCTTTTTTAAATCAGAAAGTAATGTGAAGACTGGAGTCAGTGTTGTAATTGATATGCAGAACCAGGATTTACTTCAACTTTAATCACTTAGAAGTAACAACTCTACTGGTTTAAACATCTAAGTTTTTTCCATGCCCAATGGAGAAAGATATATGGGAGGAATTAAACTCTCAAAATGACCATCTCTTCATAGCCTAAGCTATCAATGCCTACATATTGAGTTTTTCGATGGACAAAGTTAGGTCAGAAGCATCTCACCCTTACAGGGCAACTAATTGAATTCATTAACATCAGGATGAATTATCAGTATTCGTAAGATCCATAGATTCGTTCCAGTAACAACATTAAACTCTTTATTACTTGGACAAGGCAAATGATTAAGTGATAACGTCTGAGGACTGTGGTCTCAAAAATCTTTAGCAAAATGGCAAGTTTGCTTCTTTTTATAGTTGGCTGTTGCTTTAGATACAAAAAACGTTCTCCAGATGCAAGAAAGCCAGGACACCAAGTAATCTCTGGGTATGTACATAAGTGCATGTAACCAACAGGAAAGGTAGGAGTAAAAGGAAAGAAAAGAGAAATAAATATAGTTTGCTGCATGACTCTCTGTCTCAGCTTTATTTAGGAGAATAATAACAGCTTTATTATTAAATTCAGAACCTTAAAAGAAAGTCTTCGAATTAAAGTACCTGCTGTCTACCAGACACCTAGCCATATATTTCCTTCAAAGTATTTCTAAAGATTGATACCATAAACTCATTTTCACACGATGTAATATCTGTGTTTATTTTACTGAGACTGCTGGAATGTTAAAAATAATCCATTTAAATCTGTGCCATACAAATATTTTGGTGAAAGAAAAGTAGGCATCTCAGAGAAAACCTGAAGACCTAAAATTTTTACAGGCGATGTATTTTCCGTATGTGTTTCTTATGACTACAACATATCTTTATTTAAAAAAAAAAAAACAACCCACAAACAACAGTTTTGTTTTGTATTTTTACCTACTCTACCAACTTCCAATGTAAGAAAGTTTTGGTACAGAAGAAATACACTATATGGAAGCATAGAGATCTGTCTTACCTTCTGGCTCCCTGATCTTACGTCCTGCTGCAGATTTTCGTAGCACACTCCGTCCTGAGTTGAACAAGCTAGTTAACTCATCAAGGGGACTGGTCAATGACCATGAGTTTGCAGGGCTGTATGGAGATGAAGATGATGAATTTGAGTTCAATTTCCTGTGATCTGCTCTTGCCACCTTTGGGGAGTAAGGCAGTTTGGAGAACGGAGAAGATGAGCATCCAAGCTGAGCAGAATTTGGTCTCTGAGGTACTTTTGACAGGTCTGAGTTTGCACCTGGTTTCCCTGTATTAATCAGAAAACTAGCACAAGTCTCTGGAGGAAATGCAAAATGTGTGGAAGCCCGGTAGGAAATAGGAGGTGGTACAGGAGGAGGGGGTGGTGGGAGAGGAGGAGGTGGTGTGGAAGGAGGAGTCACTTTGCTGGAAACATTGAACACAGCCAAGCCTGGAGATGCTGGTCTTTCATTCTCCCCTTTCTGGCTCTTGGAGTACTGTGGTGATAATGGACTTGAGCCTTCTGACTGCACAGGGTATTTTAGGTTGGTTTCCAAGACAGGAAGCTTTTTGACTTCTAGTGGTGTTAGAGGTGACTCATCAGAAGCAGGTGAACACGTGACAGGGGTTGGAGGAAATACCAGAAGTGGTGGCCTGTGAGGGAGCAAGTTAGGGAAAGGGGCTGGAATGTCACATGAGTCTTTATAGATCAAAGCTGTCTGACTGTTTCCATCCAATGCTCCATCTTCAACGTTAACACTTTTTTTGCTTTCAAACAATAGAGGAGGAGATCCAGTCACTACTGGAATTATTCCACTACCATTGCTTCCTTCTTCTGGTAGAAAATACTTCATTTCTTCATATACAGACTCTCCTTGTTCTGGGCTTTCTGCTTCAGCAGAACTGCTTTTCATTGCATTCCCTACCATTTCAATGTAGACAGGCTCATTTTCCTCCTCTTCTTGTGACATATAGAGACTCAACACGCCATGTTGTGGCCCATCAGTAGAAGCTACTCTCTGTACTGTCACAGTATCATAGCCACCTGGTTTAGCTACTGTGCTTGCCTGTTTTACATCCCCAGGCTTCTGGCCAGGTATTTCTTCATATGAACCACTAAGTTTCGTATTGGGACTTCGTTTTGGTTTTCTGGGAGGTATTTTTTTCATGGTACTATAGTCATCACTGTGTGGCCTTGGACGAGTCAGTACTAGGAAAGTGAAAAAGGTCTGTGTTATTAAGAGATCAAAGTAATTTTTTTCTTACACAGGTCCAGTACTTTAAGCCTTCAAATGTTGCTCATACAGTTTTACAATGAGCAGCAGTTGCAAACACAGGATTCAGTCGAAAGCATAAATATTTCATGGAACAAAATGCAGAACTTTCAGGTGCCAAACACAAGTCTTTGCTACCGAGGCATATAATCTGCTTCGGTAATCTCTACTGCCACTAAAAGATGAGAACTAACACCTGAGGAGATATCTTCTGAATTCAAATGCTCACTGCAAGGTCTGTAACACATGGAAAAACGTGCTTGTTATTCCTTTTGCACCAAGGAAGAAGGGCACTCTTTTAACTAGGAGTTTCAGCATGGTGCTACTTTGACACACATTGCCAGTAACTGAAGCATCCCCCTGTTATGTAATATCTGTAAAACTAATTACAGGCAGATATTATGCCTGTCTCTTCTGCTTTTGTCCTGCAGGTGTGGAAATAATTTATAAAGTTAGGAAATCCCATAGCCTAAAGGCAATTCCTGAACTGAGTATACAGTCAACTAAACTAGATGTCTTTTCACAGCTTCCAAGCACGCATGTTGTGGAGAGACTGGATATCTAGGTGATTGGTCTTTTAAGATCAAAATTACATGGTGTAAATCAGAGCTGGTTTTGGACAAAGACTCGGGAAACTGACGTAATTCTTGGAAAATGAGTAAACAGCAGGGAAACTGGCCCTATTGTTTCATACATATGAGAAGAATTCCAAAGCTGCTTTGTGAGTGTACATAAGCATTAGCGTTAAGACCATGCATATATATATATATATAAATTGTCATTCTTTCAAAAACCTCTGCTAGAGCTTTTGGGTTAAATCAATCATCTCTTGCAGAGCTGGACACAGAAAGCCGAAACCACTGCAGAGCTCCTTAAGCCACACTAGTTTAAAAGTATGTTGGACACAGTCCATCTCTCCTTACACAGAGCTTGAACGAAGAAGGAAGAGGTGAAGAAAAATGAACTTGCATGTAAGGAACTGGACAGGAGAATTATTTTGCAAGAGGGAGCTGCAAAGGCTTCCATCCATTGTATGCAGGATTAGAGAATGGTTATACATAGCTTTAAACCCAACCTGAAGGATCTTCCCTGATAAGCCTAGAGGATCCTTTACACAAAGCCTGACAAGTCAGGCTTATCAAGGAAAAGCAGAATGCATTCCTCCCCTTCGTCTTCAACTCATTCATTTCAGGGGTGAAGAAGAATAGAACAACTGAACTCAGAACTGTTCTATAGGCACTACAATGCATCGAGACACTTTGAGACTTTCATACCACTTTCCTTCTAAACAAAAAATTCACTGTAAGCAAGTTATGGCACAAACGTAAACCACTGAATGCATAAGTTATTCATGTGAACATAGAGAAAAAGTAGGATAAAGTTTAATGTTTAACTTGGAGAAATTAAAGATTTGAGCATTCTGGTTTTGTGAAGCAAGGTATTCTAACATATAGTTTAAAAGATGAAATAAAACGGTCAGTGGGGTCGAATAGCTCAAGTTGACAGAGATAATTTGTCTCTAGAGGGAGTTCTGCAAATAGGTTTTGGTTGTTGACAAACTAGGCAATTAAAACACATGATTATGATTTTCTGATTTGGAAACAAATGACGAATTGACTAATTTTATTTACTGCCACTGAAATATTTCAGGGAAGTAGGAGTTTTCAAAGGCACTTGACTGTGTTTAAAAGGATCAAAGTGAAAAGAATAAATCAATAACCTAGAGTAACATTTGTGACTGTTTCTCCCTTTATGCCTAACCTTCATTAGCGGTTTCCTTAGAAGCTGCCGACAAGCAAGCACTAACAGCCTCGTATGAAGCGCTCAGTCGTGTGTTGGGGTCCCTCTTTGGTTTGGGAGGAGGCTGTTTCCTTGGTGATGGCAGGCTATTGCTATCGTCCATGCTGAACACAGAGTGCAGGGAGGGGGATCTGATGGATGACCCAGCCGCAGAATGTACCAAGCCATCCACTGCCATGGGGACAGGGACAGAGCTGGAATGAAAGTGCTTAGGCGTTCGACAGCCGGCAAAGCTGTCCTCAGGGACCTTCCCACCCTTGTCTTCAGCTCTGAAAACACAGAAAAGAGGCCCAGATGCATTATTCAAGCGATAACAATGAACCTGTTCATGCAAACATAACAACAGCTTTTTGGTAAACAATCTCACAACTCCCCTGCTGTGTCGAGGGGATGTGTGTAGTAATCTTCTGACAAACAAATCCAGATCAAGCTGCTAGCTTTCTTCCATTTCCTGTTTCATGATAAATCAGGACACTGGCCCTTTTTCACACAAACTCAGCCTTCCTTAAGCAGTTTCATATTGTTGATCAGACATTCACCGAATGAATTGTTCACACTTTGATTGTTACAGACAATCAAAAGCTGCATTTTCAATCTGAATGACAATTTCTGGGAAATCCATTTTAATAGAAAGTTACCGAGGCAGCAAATGCTGAGCCTTTATCATTATTTTCTAAAAAGACAACTATAAATTCTATTTAGATAATGCAAATCTTTAACATACTAGATGACCTTTTTAACTAGCTACATTGGCTGCTTGAACAATTCCACTCGGATATCAATATATCTCCCTGTCTAAGCTTGATTATCAGTTATCATTTTAATAATATTAATTATGACGTTATGTTTTGTTATTTCAATCCCTGTTTTTGAGTTTTATTTATTCCAATTTTTTCTTTTTTTTTTTTTCTGTTTCAACGTGTATTGAGAAATGATGTTTATCAGCTGCTTTCAATGAATTGATTTTTAACAAAAATTTTTCTAACATTTTCTTCCTCCAAAAATCAAAATGCTGAAAACCTTTTAACTTTGAGTGGTAATATATTAGATAGAAGATGTCTATACCGTCATTTTACAAAAAAATCCCTGCGCATTTGTTTTTTTAAATTGTATTTCTGCATGGCAAATCACCAGCAGAGCTGGAATTCATGCACAGGATATAGCCAGCTGCCCATGTAGTAAATGAAATAGCTAAAGATGAAAGCATGGTGCTCAGTGGATAATTTGTTTTCACTGTAATGTTTAATTACAGTCTTTCCTACAAAGGCATTTCCTCCAATATGTAATCACTGGGATATTTGAAGCTAATTAAGCAGATGCACTGCCATTTTCACTTTAATAAAAGTCACTGACAAAAGCAATGAAAGCAAATGGAGTTGTTCTGGATGAAAATTAAGTTCCTATGGAAAAATAAACATTTATATGTCCAGCAAGTTATAGTATATTCCTGCTATAGACACATACCTATTAACTGCAAATGATACCTCTGCCCATTCAGGTGTCTGAGAGAAAAGAGAGCAGGGTATTCCCAGAGAAAGGCTCTCCAGCATTTGCTGGATTTGTAAAATAGGCACTCCTGAAAACCCTGATGGGAGTTAAACAAAAAACATTTGCCTATTTTCAAACAAGAGGAAAGAAACCTCCTCACAATCTATCTAGTTCAATGCATAATCAGAATTTCTTCGTCTGGACTTTGTTGTATTTTAATGCCTTCCTAGCTGTTTTTCATTATCTTGGCAACTTCCCAATGTTGGAATTTTAAGTTAGAGGAATTATTCACTTGTTTGTTTGGTTTGATGAAAGTTCAACTATAATCTATTTATGTTAGAATTAAAAAGTATTTCTGTAAAAAATAAAAGCCTCAGAGACTTGAATAAGTTCCTATAAAGCTCAGTGTCCCCTGAATAGGATAAAAGGGGTGTCCTTATGTTTCTAGACTTAATTACCTGATATGCAGAAAAAAAATAGTGTCTAGCATTGATGTGGGTTGAGTATACACTGGAGAATCCTCTTGCAAATCCTCAGTCATTTCTGGGACTTTCTAAGCAGGGAAGGAAATCACTAAAACTGACAAAATGCTTTAATTCTTCACAGTAAATATTTTTTCATCTTACCTTTTGTGGCCTTCTTCTGGCCTGTTTCTAGCCTCTAACTTTTCCCTCTGGTAAGCCGCATTCATCTCATTGCGGAGTCGGTCACTTTCCCGAGCAATGTCAGAAGCATTCTGAATGACTAAGGCATCGTATGTTTTCAATCCCATATCCTCAGCATTCTGCAAGAAGCTTTTGATTGAGGTGACCTCTTGCTGTTTGATGCTCATCTTCTGTAGCAGGCGCTGGCGAGCTAGAAATCCTCTTACAACTACCATAACAGAAGGAAAAATTATAGATCAAAGCAGGACAACTAATTAATTAGTGAATAACATAATATTACTGTGTGTTCTGCTGTAAACATGAGCAAATAAGTTCAGTCAATGTCTTAGACAAAGAACAAAAGAAATGTGATGGCATATAAATAACTAACTTAAATAGAACTCTCTCTGTTTTCTATTGTCAGTGCTTAGAACAAAGCAGTGATAGTAAATTCATTCATAAATTTGAGCTATCACAACTCAAAAGGTTTACTTTCACTGAATGTTATTATTTATTACATTACAACTGGAAACTTGCATGTGTGCTACAGATTGTGAAAGCACACATTTACACTGCAAAGGTCAAAAGAAAATTTGTTTCAAAATAAAACCCTGAATAAATCATTGTTGCAATGAATGCAGTAGGAATTAAATGATCGTATGCTTTTCATTAACTTAAAAACATGCTTTACACACTTTGGTGTACCTAAAACCATCAAAACCACACAAGATTTTCTACTGAGACTTAAAGGCCTTTTGTTGCTCATTTTATTTCAGCAAAAACATTAGATTAATTTAATGCAAATTTCTCAAAACTATCTGTCACATCATGTCTGAATTTTTCAGTTTAAAATTTTCACCTGCATTGCATCAGCTTTATGTATCTATTAGGCCTATTTTTCACACTCTTTGTCAGTCTTACGTTGGGAG